GGTTCTACTCGCCTTCCAGGATGGGGACCGTGTGATCCTCACTGTGCCTGGTTGGAGACACTACAAGATATGGCTGGCACCCGATGTCAGTGGCGTTCTTGTTGTCAGTTTCTGTCCAGATTGCCTGAGTGAATTTCTGGAGGTGTAGGCACCTCGGAATGATTGTGTTAAGCTAGCACTAAGTCCCTCCCCCATCCACCTTTATTCTTTTCTTTACAATAAGGCTTTCAAATAAGTCATGGCTGTACGGCAGTGAAGCATTGGTGTTGAGCACTGATGTCATGCTGTCGTTGATGATGATGATGATGATGACCATTATGATGATGACGATGACCAATATATCTGGCGCCCTTCTACGTGCTGTTTTGATCGATCCGGAAAACCGAGCCCGTTCCGCAATATTCTGGTAACTTTGGAGTTAGCGCCACTCCACAGTCCATGAAACAGTTTATGGGAAATTTAGCGTAATCGGCCCTATTTATGCCACTGGCTAAATTTATGTTTATCATGCTTTTTTCCTAAGGTTCGATATGAGCACGTGGCCAAACAGAAACATCAGAGTAGAAAGGACGGTGTGCAGTATACGGTGCCTGTCACTAATTGATTTATATACAAATATCGATGTAAAACCGTGTTTATTGGGCTTCGACTCATGGGCTCTCTCTGTTTCTTATCCATAGAATATGTCGTGAAAGCCGACTTCCCAGGAATAATTGTTCCCAGATGCTTTAATAGCGCGCACACTACATGTGGACCGAATACTTCTGCGACAAATAGCGGAACTTTGTTTCAAACTCATGCAGTATATCGTAGCATTCTCCACCAACTTTCGAATTTCGCCCGACCAGTTGGTCCTGAGTCACCGTGAAAAAACCTCTAGGGAACCAGCCGCCCTTCCATAAGCTTGCAAACCCCATTAGGGCTCGTTACTCATTAATGAGAACTCGCGTCCGGGAGTACGGCGAGCAGACAAGTGTTCGGCGCCAATAACACTGAGATAGGATTACCCAGTGTGTCGGTACTATAAAATATCCATATCGAGTGACCAAAAGAACAGACAACGGCGACATATTCTGGAGGCCGGTTCGGATCACACCTGGTTTGTTGGAAATCCATAAGGCGCTATGCTTACGAAGGGAAGGTAACCAACATACCCTTGAGTTGTAAGAAGTGCATGTTGAGAGCGAACACGACTTCTATATTGAACCAAAGCCTCACACAAGTTCGTTTGCCTATGTGAGCTGTTTAACATTGGTTGTCCGGCGCCGCTTCCCTTCTTATCAAAAGATCACTCACTGCTGAAACGCCCTAATCAGCCTGGGGACACAGCTCTTCTGTCTCAGAACAAGGCCCCAATAGATATCACCAAGAATTTGGGGATTCAGGCCGAGGATTCATGTGAGGGTTCAGAGGGACCTCTACACAAACATTGTGCACTACAGCCCGAAGACAATGTTAGGGTTACGCATAATACACTCGTTGTAACTAACCCGACATATCGAAGTGAACCATACTTACGAAAGCCGAGCCAAACGCAAATCTTATTTCACATGAGCGGATGCATTAAAAACACATCAACACAACACCGCCCTAGTGTAACTCTCTCAGTACTTACCGCCCACCGGCGTGTCCCATGGACATCAACAGTGGAAACGGAGTCGGCACAGGGCCAAGCAGAAACCCCGCTTCTGATTGGACAGATACCGAGATATGAAAGAAATACGGTATTCTTGCCCGTCATTGCTTCACCGTCTCAGCAACCTGTGGATTCGAAACATATTCGGTGAATCAGATGAGTCGTCCAACATGTAATCTGGAAAAGATGCTGCACTGACATTCGAATGTTCCACAAATTCACGCGAATTGCACAAAAATTGGGGTGCATTTTTTCGAGGTTAACACCCTTTTAAGCCTCAGGCTGTCAATTTTAAGAGGGTCCTGAAAGCCCAAGTTGTAAGTTACTCCTGCTCACATAAAAAACCTAGAGATCAGTGTGATAATTTATTTATTTCCTGTCTTTGGCCAGTGAGGCCTCATGACTCTCAGCTATTACACCATCAAAAAATTTACACGGCGGTATTGCCACCATCCAGGCATCAGAAGTCGTCGAGATGAAAAATATTGATGCATATGATAGATACGTAAGGAATTAGTTGATCCACGGGTCACATGCAGATGCCCGTGAGCCGAAACATGCCCGTAGAGTGTACGTTATGTTGGTGCACAGCGACTATTAAGCTGGCAAAAACGAAACTTTTCATATAGATGAACTGTCCTCAGATTAAAGGGAGAGGCTCATGAAGCACAACGAAATTTTCCTGGAATTTTCGAAGGGGAAATTTACAATGCAGTTCAAGCGCTTAGGCCATCCAGTGCAGTATCGTGCGCCAGATCGAAGTTAGTTTTAAGCTGAGCGTAAAACTTGTGTCCTCAAAATGAATGTTTTGCTATGTACGGTTGACCTGAACCATCGATCGGTCTGCGTTCCTCCGTTTCCCTACACCTGCTGTTCTGTTTTCCCATAATTCAGCCTTACCTGCAAATAAAGTACTGGTAAACGCCTATCTACAGCTGTATTCGCTTTGTTATATTTGGCACTGTAAAAAATCGTTCACGTTTTGCCATCAAGTTTCCATTATTCCGGACTGCGCCTTACCCCAAGGCTTGTTGAATGGGCACCGTTTACAACACATTAATGCACAGGACAAATCCGGGGAGACGTTGGCGCTTTACTTACACTTCCACTGGGGTTGCGAAGTAAACTTGTAGCTCATTCCTCTCAGGCGTGAATCAAGGTTGCTGTTTATGCATATACTAATGTGCACCTGGTCGTGGATTGGTTTCACGGATTCACGGATTGATACACATGATCGAGGCTTTTGCCCAAGTCTCCCGGGTCGGTTTTGTTCTTGTCGGTCAGTGGCTGTCGTTCAACTGAAAGGCACAAGTGAAAAAGTGCTCTTTATGTTCTCAGCGCGGGGCAGTATGCTCGCCAGCGCGAGGATTCGCATAAATAAATGTCTAATAGTGCTTTAAATTGGGTTCGAGAAGGAGCGTGTACAACCGTCGGAGGAAGGTCATTCCACGCAGCTACTACCCGAAATGAAAAAAGTTTTGTCTAA